GCAGCTGATATTAACCAAGTCTTCTTTCTGTTTTAGGCCACTGATTAAGTTATTTATACACATTATTTCACTATAACAAGTGTATGGGGCGGGAATTTTATCACCTCATTTATATGTAAGATAAATAAGGCTACATGAGATGAAGGAACTCGCTCAAGAAAACTTATCATTTCAAACTGCCGTGGGTTTCAGCTAAACATCAATTTAATAGAGTCAAAAAAGTAGGAAAGCATATTTTATTTCATAACCATTTTGTTTCTTTAAAGAGAAATCTGAAACCTAAACAGCATCTCGAAGATCAAGCTAATTACATCCAGATCTTATCACTCTAACATGGAAAAGATGTGGTAGTCACAACTGCAGAAATAAAGTTATTGTTGAACGAGTGACCATTCAGGAAAAAAAGTTAAAAATCCAAATCTCCTAGTCCAAAATGTAGACTCTGTGGTTTAAGGAGGAAAGAGACCATGAAATGATTCCAGTTAAGTTCTCCATCTTAGAAGGCATAAAATATTCCCATTTGGATTGTTTTCATATCATTCTATGGTGTCAATCACATTTCCCCGTTAGGCTATGATGCTCAGTTCATCACACCATTGGAAAAATCTGATTGTGTCTTAGCTTATTTCCTGTTTTCAAATGTAGCACAACTGAAAACATCTCAGAAACACCACCGTTCCCAACAAAGTGAAAAGAGTGGAAAAATATTCAATTAAGCAGTTTTTATTTCTGTAATATATAATGAACAGTTCTTCATTACTGGAGGAAAAAGATACAAATTCAGCAAAGCTTAACACATCAGTAGTGAGGTGCCTTCACAGGCTCACTGTGACACGAGCCGTGAAGTGAACTTGACTGACAGCCAAATTTCATTTCTCATCTAGGAACTACAGTAAAAAAAGTTTTTCTCACCTTTTAAGGAAGAAAATTTTTACCAGTATAGAAAGGCAACAGTCATTAAATAAATTAAAAGCATCTTAAAAGTTTTTCCATATACATATAATATATATATTTTAATTGCCACTGACTGTACAAGTATTAAATTTTCAACTAAAACATTTACAGAAATTAGTGTGAAAAATTGAATGGAAAGCTTAGGTTTTAGAAAAGGGGGTCATTTTATCACTTATGATCTACATTACAATACAATTCTCAGAGGAAGAAAAGCTATACAGAGACACCATGCTTACCTAAGATTTCTTATTTATCTGCTTGTTCACCCTTACATGTCAGGTATGCAAAACTGTTCTGTATATCAACCTTGATTTGACATGTCCAGACATCAGTTCCTTGGTACAGCACAGAGAAAAGTGCAAAACTCAAGATTAACTGAACATTGTAATTATATAAAAATCATATAAATCAATGATGAGAGTATCACTCAATATGTCTATGAAATATTAAGTGGGCAACCATAGATTTTCACAGAATATTAAGGTAAATATTATCTTAATGAATAAATGATCTTCAGTTACTATATAGCTAGTGAGTGTAAAAATTAATTGGAAATACTGTAATCCTGAGATCAGAGGAATTCAATCTTCAGGCTTAATTCTACAACATCAAATCCTGTAAATTGCATATTATTTACACCAGTTACAATGAAATAGTTTTAAAATACTGTATGGATATGGGTAGTCCCTCAACTGGAATTCCAGAAAACATTTGTTTTTGGAAAAAGAATACTTTTCTTAGATGAGAGAGAGAGAGAGAGAGAGAGAGAGAGACAGAGAGAGAGAGAGAGAGAGAGAGACACACACACAGAGAGAGAGAGAGGGAGGGT